TTTCAATTTTCAACACGTGTATCTTATGCTGTGACATAAATCACAAAGGCAGACGATCATTTTTATTGTGATAAATTTGGAAAATCGATGTTTTAGTCGTGAATAAACAAAAAATCATTTATTTATACATCCACATCTACAGGTATGACTAAAATACTATATAACCCTTAAATGCAATAAAATAAATTGAGCTATTGGAAATAAATTTGTTCTATAAATCGCAGTGTATAATTTTTAATATACAATTTTATTGAACATTTTTTAATATTTGTTAAATGAATAATTAAAGTGTTAACTGTGGGAATTGAGAGCAATCATTTTATTTGAAATAGTTCTACATTCAACATCACTCATATATTGGTGTAAATAGTAATTCAAAAAACAGTAATTATTATTTTTAACTAAGCAGTAAATATTAGTATAAAAAATTTAAAAATTGTAGACATGAGTACAGAACAACGTCTGTCGGGTCAGCTAGTATATATATATATATGTATATATATATATATATATATATATATATATATATATATATATAGCATTACTATATTGCCTACATAAAAGTAATTAAATTTGGTGATGATTCTTATTTATATACGCTTTCTAGCGTAAAGTTTGAAATATTTTATAATTATTACAAAACCGCAACAAACGCGTTTTGGGGATTTTGGGAATATAACAAAATTGATTTCATTTCATTGTAAAAATTATTAGTCGTGAATACCACATTGGTTTGTGATATATGGTGTTAGCTTAGAAATTCGACTTTCTTCGTGTTTTGGTACGTTGCTTTAGTATTGAATTTTCAGTCAGTTGTTCATCTTTTGATTTTAAGTTTACAAACAGTGTAATAATCAACATTTGACTATTTTTTATAATTTAAATTTAATAAATTTTGATTTCGGGTTATAATAAACTTTACAGAGAAATGCTGAAAGCTCACTAGCTTTTCTAGTAAGTATTCTGAATATATGTTGTTCTATTGTACTGCTTATAAATTACATATTTCTATCATGTTGTTCATCCTAATGTAAATTTTTGTTCATGTAAGTAATATTTTTGTTTTTTATTGCCCAGAAAAAAATCAATAATTATAATATTACTTAGAAAAATTAACTAATGTACGTGAATATTTTCACTACGTATACAATACAATACAATCAAAGAATCCTCTCACGCGACACGACGACCAATCACAATCGACCCGTACAGAAATGATATCATCGAAAGCGAATGAAAAATCATTGGGCCCCCGTCTCGGCCATAATGCTTTTCCGTTGCATTTTCACAGACTTACTTCCTAGTCGCGCCTAAAGAAGTTTTACTTCAAAATTTTCAATTGGTAATCAAAAATGATGATTACAAATCAATTTTGTTTATTCATTTAAAAATATAATCATTGGTAGTAAATATAAATAAAATTAAATAGCATGTTATAATATAAATAATTAAAATGGGTTTATGTGTATGTGAATCAATATTTAACATTTTGTCGAAGTTAAAACGGCTGCAACGATTTTCAAAATGTGATGAAACTCGATAAGAAGTCACGTTGATTATTTTTGCGTAACGATCAGCCAAACCGTTTTTTATGACTAGCATTAGATTGCTTACAAATAGCAAATAAGTACAAAATTTTCGTCCAGCTTTTTAGAAATTTCTGAATCCTGATTTTTAGGATTTAAAAACCGTTGCAACATATGATAGGAATCTTGCAAATTAGTTTTTGGTAACAAAATTCTTGATTTTTATTAAATTTTATATGATGAGAAAGTTTATGGTCTTAATGAACATCCCAAAATATTAAAAGCATACGACAAGAGGTTTATTTATGAAAATTTATTAAAGTTTGGACTAATGGACAGTGTCAAAATCTCAAAATTTTCAGGGGGGCGTCCATTAATCACATGATCGACTATTTAAGGATTTTTGGACTCTCCCTCTCCCGGATTTTTAAAAAAAAATCATGTAAAATATTCACCCACGTGATATTTCTTGATTTTTTTGTCAAACCCCCCTTCACCCTAAAAACCTCACATGATTAATGGACGACCCCTCCTAAGCGACAATTTAAAAGTTTCTAAGTTTTATTTTTTATTAATTAAGTCGATTATTTGCAAATATCGGAAAGTTTTAACAGCCTTAAGGAAAAAGAACACTCACATCTATTTTATGGTGACGTTATGATATTCGAGTATTAAGAACTAAAAATTTAAAATATTGATTTTTTCCTCGATTTCCTACTTTATCTAATTTATTATTGTTTTATACATACTCTCTTAGAGCACTTGGAGAATTTTTATATCATAAAAATCATCATTTTTATGTTCAATACGGCCCTGTTCTACAATCAAAAATCTAAATTTTTCATTGTCATCGATGATAATTCCGATGTGTTATATTATTAAGTATCATTAGTTATTAAGGTCAGCAACGAAATAACTTTCTTATTCGACAATAAAAGACGGATCTTCAGAGAGAAACCAGAAGAAGAAAGTGTCTGACTTATGTTTGAGTAGCCTAAATATTGCGCCTCGATGCCTCGGTATGTCGGTTTTACTTTTCAAGACAATAATAACATTATCAGTCTTAAAATTGTGGTCTTAGGATTGTGAATTAATAGGTAATAATTAACATATTGTTTAATGTTTTTGTTTATTTATAAACTCCTATTATATAGCGCATAAAGTATTACAATTATTTAGTCAGATACAAAGTTTAAAGCGCCAATAAGCTTTCAGAATAAAAGTACTATTTTATAAAATAAAATATACTATTTTTGACTTGATGTTGTGGTGGAAAATATTACCGAATGTGTATTAAAATAATAAAAAATAAGTTTATTTAAATGCTGCTTGATTATTTATAAATTGCTATTACCTATTATATTATAACAATTATATCAGAATCGTTTGAATCTTCTAAAAGCTTTCGAAAAATATTATTTTTGACTGGATCACGCGAAAGGAAAAATGTGTATTCGATAGATCAAATAATAGAGCAAAAAAACAATTTATTAGAAACTTAAAAAAATTAATAGATTCATAGAGAATAGCAATAAATAATGAATTATCTATGTAAGAAAACAACTTGTGTTCTACAAGTAGTTACATTTTTAAAACGATTTTTTAAATTATAATTCGTTATATATATTTATAATTCATATTGAATTATGTACGTATTATGTAAATATATAATAGTAGTTCATGTTAGTAAATATATAAGTATTAGTAATACTGTATTACTAACATAAATCTAATATCAATGCAATAATTATAAACAAGTTCGTATATAAGAAATGTTCGAAAATAAAATAATGTCTCACTGTTCATATACCTTAAATATTATGATTCTGATTAAATATTTGAAATTAAACATTTAAGATTAAAAACATGTTTGTTCAAACAAAATTATTATGAAGTTAATTTAAATATTTATAATCATACGTATTTATTCTAATTTCCTACCGTTGGCGATAAGAATATAATTGCTTTTCTAATGATATATTATCGCAAGTAATTATAACCGACTTCAAAACAACGAACTTTGAAAAATAATGGCATAATATACATGTATATTATTGTATTGAATAAAATAATATTTTGTTAATATGAGACTTGCTTGAAAACTCAAATTAATTGAAAAATTTGTTTATTTATTTCATGTTTTTAATTATTAGATATTTATTAAACTCTGACTATTAAATGAATTAACATATATGTCACTATTTGTCCATTTTTTCACCGATTAGCATTTTTATTTATCATTTTCAAATTCATATTTACCATTTGGCCAATATAGAGCTGATTCTATTTTTCCAATATTTTGTAATTCATAAAAATGAACATTATTTCCGAATAGTTTGTATTTTAGAGAATTTGAAATCATTCAAATAATGAGAGTTGTATATTGCTATTAAATTAGAAATAATAATGAAGAGAACCATTCTTATATATTAATCGTTGAACGAATATTTTTAATTAATTACACTTTTATATAATTTGTTAAGGCTTGAATGCCAAATTTGTAGTGTTTGCAATATAATAATTTCAGAAAGTGAAATTTGAATGAAATCAGTTATAAAAGGGTCTCTAATAATATAAAAAACGCTTATAAAAGTAAAGCTAATGAGTGTTTTATTACACACACACACACACATATATATATATATATATATATATATATATATATATATAATAATTTAAACGTATATAATATATGCATGCACCTTGCATATTAATAAAGCGAACGATCCATTTTTTGTGTTTTGATTGCGCAGTGAAGAAAACAATTATATTGCAAAGGATCTTGAGAATTAATTTTTACTGAATGACGTTGGGAAAAATAACAAATAATGTACAAGCCGAGCAGCCAGTACTTTTTTCTAAAAAATAAAACTGGCATGTGATAATTTTACTATATATACATAACTATAATAGACTATATATATAATAGAGATATTAAATATAAGACCTTCATAAAATATTCATATTATGAAATACTTTTCATCAGCATCTCTTTAGAGTTTTAATAATTTAAGGGCAATTCTAGTACAGAGACATTGAAAATGAAATATTATCATTATTGTTTTATAATTTATTTATCAACGTTAAAAACGTAAAACAAAAAAATTACAATTTTAAAAATTAGTAATTGTTGAAATAGGGGGTTACAAAAAATTTCCACGTGACCGTGTCACGATTGCAACCCTCTTAGTAATCCAAAATGAAAAAACAAGATCATTAATATAGAATGATGTCGCGATGGTATATACTAGTAAACAAAAAAAGACCATTTTCATACCACTTTTTGAGTTTCTCGATTTTTTATTTTTTTTATTTTATTATCAGATTGCATTTATCTTCTATATTTTAAAATTTGAAATTAGGAAATCGGCTCTGTTATTACTTTTAATTGCTTAAGCTTACATTACACGTGTAAGCTTAGGTTTACTCATTCATGTAATGTGAGTTAGTGCTAAATATATATATCTGTTTGTTGGGTATTAGAAATTTCTATGATTTAGCAAATAAATTGATTTGTGAGAAAATAATATTTTATATCATATTATTAATACTTTTTTTTATTATAAAGGATCAAGTAGAGAATTTAATATTTATTGATAAAACGCAGTGTATATGAAATTAGTGTACTTTACATAAAACAATAAGTGATCAGTTCTAAAATAATTAAAATAGTGTGAAACTTCTATATCTTCTAAAATCGTTTATCGTTAATTTGCATATATTTATTTATTTTCTATAATTTTCCAACTAGCTTTTTCTCAATTTCTCTTGTTGATAATGATTTATTTTATATACTCGTATATATATATATATATATATATATATATATATTTTAATTACAATATTTGGTACAACTGCTAAATAATATAACATCTAGTAACATTAATGAACAATAACATAAATATAAATAAAATAGAGTACAAAATAAAGGATAGTATTCACATTAAAATGATACCGTATTATGATGATTTAATATAAAAAAGAAGAATTTAATATAAAATAATATAAAATTATGTTTTATAAATAAAAATCTTTCATAAAGTCATAAAATTATTGTTCTTCATATAAAAATTATTTTAAAATTAATTTATTATTTTCATCGTTTTTTTATTAATTTATTATTTTAGTCTTGGAATTTGGATAAATCCTTATTGCCATATTTTCTTTTTAAATACTCTTACCAACTCAGATTTGTGAATAAAATAATTAGCATCGTTGCAAATATTTTATAATCTTGAGGTATTAAATTTCTCATATCCTGTTCAGATTGTTTTTATTATAAGATATCATTCGCGATCGATCAATTTCTTCTTATCTTCTACCTGAAGGTATTTCATAATAAATAATTCATTTGTTTAGTCTATCAAAAATTGTGCCGAATCAACAATTTAAATAATGCCAAGTAATAATCTAAAAATCCAAGTGACTTGTGAACGACCTTCATAAAACAAAACCTGATATTCCGAATTCTAGTTTTTTTATTATAAAATTATTCCGTGGATTTTTGACGATTTTATTTTCAGTGTAGTATCTACTGCGTGTGATAGAACTAAAAGTGTTTAGGATAGATATTCGATTTATGAAATTTTTCAATTTTGATTTATTAAATTCAATTTTTTGTGTGATATATAAGATTTTATAATGGATTGCAAAATGGACAACGATTTTGAGTATTTGGGTAACTATTAGTATATTTATATATGTAATTGTATTTATATTTCAATATATTAAAATGTCATGTAAATTATATATACATGATATTTCTTATGAGAACTTAACAATTTTATAAAAACATACTGGCTTTACAGTAAATCATTGCGTTTATGCTAAATAATAGAGCAACTCATTCTTCAAGGTTAATTTTATTTATAAATTATATTTTAATATTTTATATCTTAATATATATTAAAGAAGTTATATCTAAAACCCATTTTCAAGTTTCTGAAATTTTTTCCATGCAAATTCGATATGAAACTTAGATTGAATTGCGCTTATCTAAAAGTTGATATTAAGAGCTAAAACTTTTAGAGATTTTTTTTATCAATTTGGAAAATAAAAAATGTACATATTAAGCACCACCCTAATATATATATATATATATATATATATATATATATATAATAGTTTACAATACATACTTCCATTAAAACCTTTTTAAAAATAAAATTTTATTATGCATCTATTTCATTATTCCCAAAAAATTACTGATATTATTCAATTGAAAACAACAATTACAATCTATTTTTCAGATTAGTTTTGAAATTTGAAGTAATTTGTTTAATTGTTCTACGATATCCTTGAAATAATGATAATTTGTATTTTGTTTAAACAATTGTCGTTAAAACATTTTTCTTTAATTTCATGTTTAGTACTAGTAGTATATCAAAATAACTTGTGTGTTTTAGTGTTAGTGTTCATTTTATTATTAGCTCTGCGAAATTTATTTATTTATTATAATTTTTCTATCGAATTATAAATGGTGCAATTAGTACGTTAAATTAAAATTTAACCTTCATTACAGCAATTAAATTTATAAAACCAGTAATAAGCTTTTATAATGAGTTGTATACACCTCTTGACAAGTAATAGTTACTACCATTAAAATGTAATTATATGTTAAATTAATATGAAGAAACGGAAGTTATTTATATAGCTGAGTTATGTGATTTGCTATAAATGGATATATGGTAGATCGAAAATTTCCATTATTATTTTATATATATATATATATATATATATATATATATATATATATTAATAAACTTGTTTCCTATCAATAGACTTGATATGCATTTAAGAAATTCTGATTCTGAAACTATTTTGATGTCTGTATGAAGATTTTTAACTGGTTTTTGACCGACAAAAACATGTATATAACTATTATGTATTACATATGAATATTTATAGAGATTGTAACCATTACATAAAACATAAAACTACCTATATCTGAAAATTTGATAAAGTTGGAAGAAATTATTCGAGATTCTAATATATGATTATGCTTGCTCTATACACATAGATATATTGTAGAATTTTTAATTTTTCTAAGTTTTGTCATTTTTATTAATTTTGTATGTTTTGAACTGAAAGTGAATATGTTGAATAGATTTAGAATAAGATGGATTTTGAAATTTTATTATTTAACGGCTATCAACATTTAATAGAATTCGTGGAAAAAATGGCTGAGATTCACATTTTTAAAAATATTCATTCTCATATTTCTGTAAGAACTTTCAATTTCAACACAACAAATAATAATAAAAAAAGACAAAAGTAAAAATTGTGAGGTGCATGGCGTCGTGCCTCAAGGCAAATTGCTGGAACTTCCCGTACACATGATGTGTACACTTTATTAAAATCTCTATAAAACATCTGATAGTTTGATGTACATATGTCTAATAAACATTTTTGACCGCCAAATGACATTTTTTTAACTTATTTTTGTTGAGAGTTCATAACCTCTGGACCTGCCTTCTCAAAAATTTAATCAGTTCTTCATCTTGTCAATACAAGTAAAATGTTTTTTGCATTATTAAAATCGGTTGATCGGTGTTCCCGAAATCGTCCACACACATACATTCATTTTTTTTAAGGTATGCCAAAATATTCAGAAATCGTTGCAACGTAAAGATATATAAAAATTTTTATTTTCGATTTTTTTTGCGATTACTAGTAAATAAACAAATAATAAAAAAAACAAAAGTAAAAAAAAATTTTTTAAACAAATATATCTATGTGTATAGGTGTGTATAGAGCATATTCATATTTTAGAATCATGAATATTTTTTTTAATCTTCAGCAAGTTTTCTGTTTTTCTAGCAAAAATCGAATAATGCTTATATAATAGTCATCATATATTTATTCATAATATAGAGAGATTTGCAAGCAAATTGTAATACTAATGATTAGAGTTAGAGTTACTTGCTCTATTGGTTTTCATACCAATATAATAAAATTACTTTAGGAAATTATTATTCTATTTACTGAGAATTATAACTATAAAATTTATCACTATTTTTGAAATTTTATTTCGATTTTTTTACCAAAAGGTATAACACTCCTACTGGTAGATTTGCCCGTGTTTTTTTTCCTCTTTATTATTATTTAGCATGCTGCCAACGATCAATTTTTATTGACAACACAAGAATGGTGTGCATAAGTCCTATAAAACTGTTTTGTTTTCGTTTCAGCATATGATGTCCTGTTTATCAGCCTTTTTGAATAATCTGTGGGTTCAAGCGTTTGCCATCGTAGGACTCGCGGCCCTTGCGACTATAGCCGCAGTTATTAGACTCTATGCGCACATCACTTGCGGAAGGTAAGAATATAATAAGGTGAAACTAAATCGTTGCAAATTGTTTGAATCATTCCCATCTAGGACAATCATAATATACACCTATCCTATGTTTTACACGGAAGATAGGTTCTAGAAAAAACTGTGTAACTTGAAAAATTCACTTTTATGGGGCAAAACCGTTCTAAACGAAAACCATCATAAAAGCACTTTTTGTTAGGAAAATAAATATTATTATATGTAATATCAAACACATTTAATGATTTATTGAAATTAATAAAATAAAATTCAGTTTTGATCATAAAACGACGATTCCCCATCTTATCTACATATTTCCATCATAGACATAGACTACTATGAATTCGTAATTGTAACATACATTTTGTAGTGTTGTAATTTGACAGTAAATCAATGAAAATGTTATTGTAGATATAAGATAATAATAATTTAGTATTTATTATCATTAACATTATATTTGTATTATCAAGGTGTCATTCAACACGTAAGATGTCCGGGAAAACTATAATAGTAACCGGAGCAACTGGAGGCATAGGCCGGGAAACGGCGGAAGAATTGGCCAGGAGAGGTGCCAGGGTTATACTCGCGTGCAGGAATGCCGATAGTGCTTGCAAGGCCAGAGGTCAGTAAATTAGTAAATCCTGTTATATATATATATATATATATATATATATATATATATATATTCATTTTCTTAATATTTTGAATATTTATGTTTCAAAAGTCAATAATCATGTTTCTTTCAATTTGCGTCTAAATAATAAATATATTGAAGTACTTTGCAAAGTTACTTGTTTGTGTGTTAGAGAAAAAAAGTTTTTAAAAGCATTTTTGGTGAAAAAATTTAATTATATTATTTTCATTTAAGCACGATTCAATTTGTTTCGGTTCAATTAATTTTATAATAATTTAGATATCTAATTATAATTAATTTTTCTCTATCATGGCTTGAACAAACTTTCGTAGTTTCAAATGTGGAGATTAGTATATTTGTGATAGATAGAGTAGATTAGTTTATTTTTCCTGGATAAAAAGTTAAAAATATAATTAGCGAGTTGTATCAAATAAATATGTATGTATATATGCAGAAAAAATTAAAATTAAACTAGTTGGTATTGGTATTTTGCCTTGAGGCAAGTTACATGAACTTCCCGATATGTGTAATAATGTGTAAAGAATCGATTTAATCAATAAAAAATAAATTAATTTATGAGTGATTAAAAGTATTCAGAGTGGATTCATTACACATAACTGAAAACGAACAAACACGTTAACTCGGAGTATTTTCTAAAAGCAAATTTTCAAAAACCAGTTTCCCTAAAACTTTATTGGTTTAGTATGTTCATTAGGAATAAGTATTCTATCGTTATACCAAGTAAATATCGTCTAATTTTAATTTTAACAAACGTCAAAATTACTACTCTTTCTCTCAAACTTTGATAAATTTTTGAAGTTAAACTATTTGTCATAAGGACGTAATATTTCAGTAAGTTTTGTAAGGCCATGACATATATCGCCAAAAAAAGTTTCATCAAAATCGGCTTAATTTTTTTTTCAACATTAATTACAAGAAAACGGCTCGATTGATTTTTATCTAAAACCAATCAGTGTCATTCCCAAATAATACCTTTCGAACAGTTTTTCATTTTTTAAAATCGATTCGGTAGTATGAGTTTGAGTGTGGACAAAGAATTTAACACGTTTTTCCAAATTACAAAGAAATGACTCGGCAGATCGCTGCACAAAACCGAGGAAAGATAATCCACATCAAAATACATCAATTGGCTTCTAAATTTTTGAAATCGGTTCAGGAGATTTTGAGCAAACGTCGATGAAAGTTATAATTTTGACAAACGCTAAAAAACGACACTAATTTTTGCAAACTTTGACGATTTTTTAAAAGTAAACGACTTGTCGTAGGACCGTAATATTTTAGTATGATCTATAAGACTATGGTATCTACCGTAAAAAAAAAATCCTAAAAATAGTCGAAAAAAAATTTTCAACACTTTATTACAAGAAAAAGGCCCGGCCGATCTTTACCAAAAACTAATCAGGTCGATTCCGAACCAATATATGTTTCGAACAGTTTTTTATTTTTTAAAATCGATTCGGCAGTATGAGCTTAAATGTGGACGAAAACACTTTTTTTCAGATTACAAAGAAAACGGTTCGGCAGAAACAGCAGTCCTCATCGAGATACATCAAATGGTTATTAAATTTTGCTACCGATCGATCGATTTACGGCAAAAATCTTTTCACATACAGGCACACACATACACATACTGTTTTCAAATTTGGTCTCATTCGATTCAGAATGCTTGAAACGTCGAGAAAACATAAAATCGGATTTTTTGATGAAAACAAACTTCTCCTTCGGGAAGTTAAAAATGAATCGTATCAAATACATATGTATGTATATATGCAGAAAAAAATTAAAATTAAAACATATACACAACAATAATATACAAATTGTTATAATTCTCTTCAAAATTTTCCGTATTTCGAAAAAGTTAGGAGATTTGCTCGCGCCGTGCCATACCGTTGGCCTTACGGTGTTGGACGTTAGGTCAAAGAACTACAAATTTTAAGACTCAACGGTATATAAAATACTTATCGCCAATTATTATTGTTCATTCATATAACTTTTTATGATTATATTTAACTCGAGCCCACAGTCAATGTCAAAATACAACTTTTTCTTCTTTTAATAACTCAAAAATTGTAAAAGATATCGAAACATATCAAAATAGAGGCACTAATTGGTCGCACACAAGTTTTTCATTGCAAAAGAGCCGAGTACATCAAAATTGTGTATTCTTTTTCTAAAATCTATCATGCTACTATTTTGTTTCAAACTACTATAAATTTAGTTTTCCAGATATGTTTCAATTATAATTTTCAGATGAAATTGTATCTGCTACTGGTAATCGAGATGTACATGTAAAACTTTTGGATTTATCTCGAATGCGATCTGTTCGCGAATTTGCTGCCGATGTACTTCGCACCGAAACGCGGTTGGATGTTTTGATTCATAATGCAGGTAAGTTTTAAATTACCTTTATTGTTTGGGCGATTTAAAAATATTATTAATTTCAAAACAACTACTCACATTTATTTTGAAATGAGAGTATAAATTGCACCACAATCATATAACAATGGAAATATTACGCAGAAACAATGAATGAGTGTCGCATAACAGGAATAAGATATAGTAGACGAAATAGAGTTTGAGATATATTTAACTTTCAATATATTTTACGTTTTAAGGTATGGCCGACGTTTTTCGCAAACAAGTTACTGAAGATGGTTTAGAAATGACCATGGCGACCAATTACTACGGACCATTCTTACTGACTCATTTGCTGATAGACTTGTTGAAGAAATCAGCACCAAGCCGAATTGTAATAGTTGCTTCAGAACTATATAAATTCTCAAGGTATTATTTATTAATATTAAGTAATCGATATTTGCTATTTCAAATGATCATTTTATTTTTAGATTGAATCTGGAAAATCTGAATCCAATAAACACATTCCCAGCATATCTTTACTACGTATCCAAATATGCAAATATTTGCTTCTCAAACGAACTTGCAAGAAGATTACAAGGAACTAATGTTACTGCAAATTGTTTACATCCAGGTATGTATTTATTAATAAACAATATTATGGAATGCTCAGCAAATGATTTCTGGTATTATAAATATTTGCTCATCAAACAATATTCTAGTCTAGAGGACTAATTAATTTGACTATAAAATGTTATTAAACAAAATGGTGGGGAATGCTCGTTGATTAAAATAATTTTAAATAATTTCTAATTAATTCTGGTATTTTATACATAAACAATACACAAGATATAAATGCTACTGATATCGAAATTTTAAATAAAACAAAAATAGAACGATATTATAAACAATGATTATCACCTTTTTGATAGCTTTGTTAAATGTATTTATGAACTTCCCGAAGGAGAAGATTGTTTTCATCAAAAAATCCGATTCGCTAATTTTATATTTTCTCGACCTTTCAAGCCATTCTGAATCGAATGATACCAAATTTGTAAAAAGTATGTGTGTGTATGTGAACAGATTTTTTGCCGTAAATCTACGTTTTCTCTTAAACGGCTTAAAAGCCATTCGATGTATCCCGATGAGGACTAGCCGAGCCGTTTCTTTGTAAATAACAGAAAAGTGAATTGACAATCCTTTTCCAATTTTTGTGTCAAACGATTCACAATGACTTGAAACGTCGGGAAAACATAAAATAAACAAGACGAGTTTTCTGCGAAAACTTAAACGTTACCTTCGGGAAATTAATAAAAATTACAAAGAAAGTTCATTAAATTCACTCCAACTTGCTTTCAGGTATGATCGACTCCGGTATTTGGCGCAATATTCCCTTTCCTCTAAACTATCCAGTCAAATTAGTGACCAAAGGATTTTTCAAGACCCCTAAACAAGGTTGCCAAACGACGGTCTACTTAGCAGTATCTGAAGAAGTTGAAGGCGTCAACGGCAAATATTTCTTAGATTGCAAAGAATCGTCATTAAAAGCCGGGGCCAAAGATGAAGCGAAAAACAAGAAACTTTGGGAATTGTCAGAAGATTTAGTTAAATTGCAGCCTACTGATCCGCGAATTTAAGAACAAGAAAATAGTTTTATTTTGAATAAGAATTGCTAAATGGAAAATAGTGCTAAATCTATGTTGTATGTCTGGCCAATTTTGTAAAGTTTTGTAATTGTTATTTTTTAAACTCACATAAGAAAATTATCTACTTATATAGTAGGAGCAAGATGCTCATTTTTTATAATATGCTCACGCTCCGAAAAACTTCTTTTATAATGATAAAAATATTAGGTGTAAAGAAAATTGCTGTCAATTATGATAATAGTAAGAACCTTAAAAAAAATCTAATTGAAATTAGTTAAAAATTATCATTAATATTAAGAACATTTAATTTTTCAATTGAATAATATTGAAAGTTTTTCCAATTTAAATCTATTATTTTATGCTTTTATTGAAATTGCAATAAATAAATCCAAACTTTTGAAAATATTGTTCTAAGGAAATCTTTATTATTTATAAGGAAAAAGTATATTTTTTGCTTGATTGATAAAAAAATTAAATAAAAGGGAATTTTATAAGCATAATTGCATTATTTTATACATTATTACGTTAATATAGCGTTATAGGTTGTTATTAGCACGTTATTTTAGAGGTAAAGAAATCAATAATTACAACTCGCACACATTATGTAAAGTAAATTTGTTACTAATAATTTATATAAAAGTCAATTAGAATTTATCACGTTTTTAATATATATTTATATTTGTTTGTTTCGAATTTCATTAAGAATATTATATATATATCAAATATTACATTTTGCTTTAGCAATCTAAGGGCATTCCAAACTTATGTGTATTTAATTAAACAATATGTGTTTACTTATAATTTACCATGTATTTTAAGCATTAAACTCAAGTATAAATAAAGACAATGAGTAGTAAACATTTTGTGTTTTCTTCTTCGTAACACCAGATGCACAAAAATGGATTGTAGTCCAAGAAATAAGGTTGTTATGGTTTTAGGAGTAAAAAATACTTTTTTAGGAACGTGGAGCCGGTTTATCAGCAACTCCAGCGTAGAAGTCTACATTAGCGTACACCTGATATGAGAAATATTTTTTTAAAAAAAGTATGCAATAATCTCCTTATATCTTTGACTCCAGAATAATAAAATTATTAAATTAATGAAATTCGAATGAATCGTTGATTAACTACTTAGCACTTTATAGTTGTGTAATATTAATTTCAGATTTTAATTAAATTCGATATTATTTAGTTTATTTGTAAATAAAAATTATTATGAAAATTTTTGTGGTTTTCCACCTTTTGAACAGCGATAGAATGATCATTGTGGACAGTTAATATTTATTAATTAAAAAATAAAATAGTTAGATCAATATAATTATCATTGTTAAATTGCAATTTCAATCTTAATTTGCCTGACCTGAGACATAAAAATGGTATATTAACAAAAGAACAAAAAACTGATGAATGAAGCAGTAACTTTATATACATTTCGTTCAACTTTATAGCAAATTACTCCAAAGTCATAATAAAAATTTAAAATAACAGATATTAATATAAATTCTTAACGACTTACCCCTGCTATTCCAGACAGCAACACAATAACACCAACGATGAAAACTTTATTATAATACGTTTGAAGTTCCTTATTTTTTTTATGCCAACATCCTTTGGGGCTCGGCATATCGTTAAGGGACATATCAAAACATTCAACGGGTTTCAAAGGAATTTTACATGGCTCATTCTCACAAGGTGGTGGCGGAGTCCCGTAGCGACGAGCTTAATAAAAAAAACAGGATACATCAAATTATATTACCCTAATTATAAAATAATGAGAAATATGATTTAATATTACTTTTAAACTGTTAAATATACGTTTTTAGATTCCATTCTATTTTAGTTTGCAAGGATGCGCGTTCAACCATTTGTAAATTTTGCACAAACGTCAGTTTGATTCTGACGCCATTTTGAAACGAAATATATATTTTACATTGTAATAATTCAAAACTTAAAGTATTATTGTATAATGATATAATTAGCAATAAACGATCATTATATTTAATATATCAACAATTAGTTATTTTTAATTGCTGAATGAATATCAAATAAAAGTTACACTATAAATTATAAACGGCGAGTCCCTTCAACAATATTATCTATCAAAAATGATCATTAACAAATATCAAAACACTTACCTAGATTCCTTGCAGAATTTCTTACAGTATTAAGAGCACGAAACATTTCTAAATCCAACTATATATTTTTATATATTCGTGAAATACAATGAACACTTGTTTATCTACAATGAACACCTTGTTTTGTTTTAAGTCTGAACTACTGCGATCACTGACGTCCCTTAAATATTTTAACGGTTGGTACAACTTCTTCCGGTATAATTAAAATTATGTAATTTAAAAGTTTTTAAACTACAATTAAATTTGATTTTTGATTGATTATTTATTAATTAATTGTAATATGATTGTAATTATGAACACATTTTCAAATTAGGCAAAATTGCGAATTTAGACCAATTTTATTAATACAAGCTTGCCAATATACAAAAGATAAAAATAACAAATATAATTATTTGAATTCAAATTTTGATATTTTGATATGAAATTAGTGTAATATTTAAATTTGGTGCATAAGACACTGATCAAATATATACAATACTATTTAATTGAATATTTGAAAATTTATGTAATAATTAGACTATACATAAGCACTTTTTGTAGGATTTTTTACATATTCTTGGTATCTTTTCTTTCATAGCATAGGTATCATTTCTTACATAGCAAAAAAAATTATTGTAAATATATGCATCACATTTATCGATTTTATTAATATCAATTTTTATCTTAAGTGTTACATATAAAAGGCACTATACATTGAAAGTATTATATAAATAAATATGCCAAATGTAATAATAATTTTGCTTATCTATTACATTATTCTATTTCGAAAGTTTCAATGATCTACAACTCAAAAAAATAGAAGCATTTCATTAAATAAACTTTATCAGCAAAGGAATGTTTTTTTTGTCAATAACATATAAAGCCTAGCATAATAACATAAAATAACAAAGGATATAGCTGTCTACTTCAAGAATTTTATGAGTTATTTAAAAAATTATATTACACTACTTATCATTAGATGCTTACTATTAAAATACTACAAAAATATTATGAGTAAATCATATATAACATTTGTACTAAATATTACATATTAAACATTATTTCCTGCAGACTATTTCTTGAAGTTAAACTGAAAAATAGAAAAAATTGTACACACCGCAATATTTTTGAGTTTAATCAATTATATATGCATCATTGTAGTGCATGCTTTTTCATTATTACTTTATTAGTTTTTAACTATTTTTGAGATTACAATAAGATTCTTATTAGTTATGTTAAATCATGTTAAACCCATAAACCTTCAAGGATTAATTTTCACATTTTTCAAACATACAATAGTAATTTTCCATGCAAACAACACAATATCTTCATGTAAAATATACTACTTATTGCTTATTTCGAAAATACATATGAATACATACAATTATTATTTAATATACGATAAATTGCACTTCATACATTGGACGGAGTAAATAATTATCACATTTGCTTGTACATAAAGATACAAGGCATGTTATATTTTGTTTAAATATAATTTTTAAAAAAATGTATTATCAAATTGCTTTTAATTTCATATGTTAATACTATTAACTACAGAGATAGAATTTATCTTTCAAAATAAACAGTTTTCCCACTACCAAAGAAATAATGATTATATGGTAGTAGGTTATTAATAAATTATAAAATATATGTTCAGAATTAGCTGTTATTAGTGAACAAAATGTAATAAAATATTTAATGCATTGTACTAATTTTTAATGTAAAAATTAATGAGATAAACAAGCTGAAAACATGCATTTTATTAGAGGAAGCACCTGCTTGACAATCCACAATTCGCCTGGCTCGCATAAAATCTTGTCCTAAGTATAAATCATAACGTCTTTTCTCTGGTTTAATTACTTGTAACTGCTGTGTTGCATCTTGGAAAATCAAATCACTATATGGTGGAGTTGAATAGAACATGCTGAAACTAAATATAAAAGTTCAGTTATGAAATTTTCTATGCCAGGATGCATAAAATTGATCATATAGCAAAACTGCTTTTCAAACAGATTTTGTATAATTTACCTAAAGTCATCTAAATCCTTTCTTCCATAATATTGTTGAGCATAAATGAATAAATTAATATATGCATTAATTTGAGTTTCGTTGTACGCATAACCGCCACGAGTCACTACAGCATTTGCCTTTACAAGACCTAAATTACAACGCATGTATTCTTTCATACTGGCTCTCGTACCTAAAATAATTCAGCATTCAACTTTAATGTCTCAGTTTATTAAAATCAAAATAAAATAATTTATGTTAGTTACCATCAGGACACAGCAACTGAAAATCATCATTTAGTGTATTTCTTGCCCACCATTCTCTTCGTTTTCCACCGGTATTTTCGGAAACAGTTGTGTGTTTAACAAATGCAACATGACCACCTCCTTCCACTAAACACCGGAATGCGCCTGTATGACCATAATAGTCTTCTGCTGCATCCCGCCGGCAGTACCTAATTTTATTAAAATAGATTATAGGTCAAATAAATATAATGAACAAAATGAACATTTGCGAGTTTACCTAAAACTAGCTCCATGACACAGATCACACATATTATCGTAAGGAACACCAACATTATATTCAGTACTGAGAGCTCCTGGAATACAACTTTTACTGAAATATTCAGAAGCGGCTCTCATACTGTCACAGCCATATGGCCTGATCCAACCATTAGCCAATAGATAAGCCATTGGATACACCCATCCTGCGGCGGTATTAATACCAGTATGGCATGTGTTTTTGCCTGTAATATAGTAAATCACAAATATGAAAAAAATGCCAGTGCTATATTTAATTAATTTGTTCAATACCTTTCAAATATGTCAATTCAGTATCAGCATCTTCTTCTTTTGCAACAGCCACCACATAATATTCAGGTTCTCCTAAATTATAAACCTCAGATATTATAGGAATTAGTTCATATCGCAATCCTGCTGTATATACATCACTTGCATCTAATACTGTCACATCTGCAACACCTGTTTTATAATTAAATAACACAGTGATTATTTCACATATTTAATTAAATTTCATATATTTTTTTATTAATAATTAAAATTTACAAAATACCTGATTGAATAGCTTGCATACAATGAATGTGAGAATGGCTTTTATAGCAAGTCATTTCTGGTTTTAATAGTTGGGCTTTCATTGCTGTCTGTAAAAGTATAAACGAGAATAAATAAAGATTCTAATGTAATTCCTCTGAATTAATTTTCATAAACACATTTTTAAAATCGTATTTTATAACGAAAAGTTTGCTTACTCTCATCTTAATACATTTTTCCATTTCAGCCTCTGATGTAACGCATAATGTCATTCTATTAACAGTACATTGCCTTACTTCCAAAATAGAATCCAGCGCTTTGTCTAAGTATCCAATATAAGTCTGTTTATTTTCTGGTAAAGAAACTAATCCAATGCTTGTATCCTAAGACATAAGATAGATATAAAAAAATTATTTAATAGTAATAATAATAATAATTACTACAAAAAAGCTAAATTTCATGGTATAATGTAAAAAGAATAATCAATCCTGATTTCTAGAATAGAATTTTTTTAGATTTTAGGATTTCTACATTTTAGGATTTCTAGATTATAGATTTTTTAGACTTTAGGATTTCTAGATTATAGATTATATTCTAGATTTTTTAGGTTTTAGATGTTAGATTTTTAGTTTTAGAATTTTTCGAATTTAGATTTTAGGTTCTACATTTTTGGTTTTAAGTTTTTTAGATTGTAGGATTTTCAGATTTCACGATTTGTAGATTTTTAGATTTCACTAATTTTAAATTTGTAGATTCTTAGATTGTTAGATTTTAGGATTTTTAGATTTTTTATTCTAGATTTTTATTAGATTTTAGATCATTTTAGATTTTAGATTTGTGTAGATTTAGAGTTTTAGTCTTTATTTTTTTTTATTTATGGTTTTTAAGATATTATACTTTATAAGATATTTTAGATTCATATTTATTTTTATTTGTGTATTTTGTGTATTAACACTTTATAATCCATTTTTATTTATATTAGTAAAACATAGTAATAATTTTTAAAGCAGGCACATAAAATTTATTTCCAGTCATTTATTTTTTCGAGTGAAAAGTTTTTGTTTTCCAATTTAATCAGTATCAAAAATAAATTCATGACAAATTTGAATATGATTTATAAAAATTACGAAATGATTATCAAAATGGCTAATGAGTTATACTTGGCAAGATTCATTATCATGTATAAAGTCTTAGATTTTTTAATGCGACCATTGCATTTTCCTAGAGTGATTTATGAATTACTAACATTTAAAAAATGTAACATACAAATTCTTGACAAAAGTCATTGCGCCAAGATGTTAATAAATTTATCACATTTGATTCACCTCGGATTTTTATTAATAAGTGTACTACTCAGTATTTTCATAACTAATGTATTTCGATACATTTACTATTGGAAATATCAATCTTCTGTTGATTTAGTGCTATTCAGATGGGAAGGCTTCCTGATCTTATTCTCAATTACATATTTGTTTGACAATGTGGTTGATATGATATTGCAATATGAAATAATTCCAACGTGAGTAATTAAAAACAATAAAAATGTAAGTAATTAAAACTTCTTCTCTTTTCAGTGCAACAAAATGTAAGATTATCAAGAAAACTCAATAAAGCAAGCAAATGAAGTGAAAAGAATGAGCAGAAACTCTATATAGAATGATCTATAAATGTAAATTATAATTTTTGTGTATACCTATTCGTGTTTAATAATTATCTTTGATAAAAATATAAAATAAATCACTCAATATTTGAATTGCATTGCAATCAGATCTTGAGAATCATTATTACGAATTTTATGTTAAAAGAATTTTTGATTGAAGCAAATTTAAATTTTCAAAATCAATTCTTTTATTTAAAAAATTTCTTTTTAAATTTTTAAACTGGAATTTTTGTTGATTACTATTGTGTAGCTTTGTAACTCTGAATAACTATTAAGCATGCAATTGCTTACTTCACATTTCTATTAATCACCTGAAACATTAGATTCAATCGTCCGACATATCTATTAGACTCGAACAAATCAAATTTCTCATAGAATGATGGATCAGCACTTGCATTGTATCTCTCGCCATAATCGTTGTCGATACTGTCATGCTTTAAATTTCTATAAGTATTATTGTAAGGATCATAATCATTATTCAAGTCTCTTCCATAGTTATTATTGAATCTGTTATTGTTATTGTAGCTCCCTTGATTGTTACGATTGTAATCTTGAAAACCAGAATTACGGTTGTAATCTGGATTAAAATTTTGATCTCGATTAAAATCATTATTTGAATTTGACCCAAATTGAGTATTATTATAGTTTGATTGCCTTGCATAGGAATATCTGGATGCTAATTGTTTTAAGAATTGGGTATAGCTGAAATGTGAAATCAAAAGTTACAAAATAATCAAAAAATATACTATCTAATGAATATTACTAACCGATATCTATTTTCATAGTTGTGTGCAGATGTAGTGACAATTGCATCAGATGGTGATGTTCCCCAATTACATTGTCGATATTCAGAAATCGGCTTTCTAGTTCCATCTGTGCACAACAATTCAAATCTGCTTTCCTGAACACTTCCTAAATTAATAAACAAATTCAATTTTACCTTCTAAGCATTGATGTTAAAAATATCAGCAATATAATTAAAAACTACTAACTGAATTCTTTGCTCCTTATCATTTGTTGCACAGTGTCATGTCTTAGAAAAGCAATGTCACCAGCTTCTAAAAGACATCGAAAAGCTCCTTCGTACCCAGCATAAGGATCTTTTGAGGTACATTTTCCACCAGCCACTTTACCAGTGCACAAAGAACACAATCTAAAAACAATAATTTTAATTTATAAAATAGATTTAATCATAAACAATTGCAAAAATGTATTCTATGTAAAATCTTATTAATGTTAATTTTAATTCTTAACTTGTATGATAAGAACATGCCATTCGTTATTGGTATTATATGTAATAATAATTAACTTACTTATCAGAATTATCGCCAATAGGATTATACTTGTCGGTTAATGAATTTACAGCACAAGAAGGTCCAAAATACTCTATAGCTGATTTTACATGATTGTTGCAATCAATTATTTGCATACCTCCCATTTGCATCAACTAAATAACAATAATATCAACTAATAACATTTTATACACATACAATTTCTTAAAAAATTAAATGAAACGGTACATTTGCAATAGATGTTACCAACCATTAACATAAAAACGTTAACTTAAAAAAGTTATGGATTTATAATATTAAAAACATATAAAGTTATACTCATCCAATAGCTGTTATCATTTCACTCACAACATGAATTGGTAAAACCCAGCTAGCGTAATATCCAACACCTGCAAAACATGCTTTGACACCACGCAAATCACTTAATCTGGTAACTTCTGGTATCGTACCAGTTTTGACTACAGCTACTGCATAGAAATATTTGAATCCGCCATCATATTGCTCCTAAAAATTATTTATGTAAGTATTAAAAAAATAACAATTTAGAACAACATGAATAATACTAGCGTATTATCGTATGTACATTATTGTCATTGTTTACCCCGTAACTCTTGATGAACACCACTTACAAATAAAGTACAAAAATTACAAAATAAAGTTCATATATAGTTCTCATTTGTTGCAAACAAGTATGTACCTGCATAATAGGTATAAGTGAATTATATCTTCCAGCAATGAAAACATCTCCGGCATCTAAAGTTACAAAATGAGCCTTTTCAGAATCCAAGAGTGTCATGCAGTCTTGTTTATTAAATCCTTGAAGACATTTTAAAGTTAAAAAATCTTCTTTAAATAAAGCACGATCTCTTTCTAAAGCTTTTGTCAAATTTTGGCATTTATATTGCTCTTCCAATGTTACAGTACACCAAGTTATTTGCTCTTCTTCTTTTAGTTCTTGGCCTGTAAATAATAATATTTGTAAACAACATGATAAAAGCCATTCATTAATAACTATTCAATCATTAATAACATTCATTAATAATAGTGTGCAATTAATTTTTCAACCCAATTTTTTAAATCCAATAATCTAACTAAAAGTTAATTTAACCTAAATGAATATGTACGAATAGAAATTACCTAAACTAGATGAAGTTATTATAGCATATAATGATATAATTAACAAATGTACATTTATAAAATTAAAATAAAACATTTTAACAAATTAAAATAAATGTTGTCAAAAACTAAACATTTTTTGACAAATTACAATATATAAAAGACACACGCCCACATCCTACCACGAATAAGGTTGTTTATATTTACTTTATACAACAGAGATAGAATAAGAAAGAGATTTTTCGCTGTGCACGTACATGGGGATATAGCTCAGTGGTAGAGCATTCGACTGCAGATCGAGAGGTCCCCGGTTCAAACCCGGGTGTCCCCTGACCCATATTTTGTTTTTTATTACTAAAATTCAGTTAATTAATTCCTTTAAATATATCACAATTTAATAATAACGCGTTTACATATTATTTTATTAACAATACGTATACGCAAATATTTAATCAAATTATTGAATCATGGAAATGTATAAGTTATATAATTCTGCATCATTAGTATAATATAAAGCTAAAAATAGTGCAAATAAATTATTCATTTCATTATGTTAAGAAAAATTTGTGCGTTGTATCCTGTGTAGTTTCTGTACATGTACCCCTAGCGTTTTTTATATTCCAAATATGTGTAATTTCAATGTTTATTGTACATACTATATTGTATATTCAACAAATTTGATTTCTAATTTGCTTACTGCTTTTATGCAAAGCATTGCACGATAATTTTGAATTGACATATTATTTATCACGATTGTCGATTATTTTTCTAATGACTGCATGAATTTTGATTGTGAGATGCGTTTCTAAATTGCTGTAACTTATTAATCCGATAATTTCGAAATATTTATTTTCGTGCGCATTTTTAATTTTGATGAATGTTTGTTGGTAACAGTGTTCTGTTAGCTTTTGGACAGTTGGTAGTTGGTAGTTTAATTTGACAACGCAAGAGGGATGACCACGCCGGTCATTTTGGCCATTTGTAAAATCTTGCATTAAAACCTATCCTTTTTGCTAAAAATGGCAGATAACAAGTTATATGATGTGTTGGGTGTTAGTAGATCAGCTTCAGACTCGGAAATAAAAAAAGTAAGTGTCAAAAATGTGTACATAAATTTATTTTATATTATGTTTTTGATCTAATCTTCCGTAGATTTCATTGCGATTATGTTAAATAATCGCATGGTATGAACTTGTAAAAATTATTTTGCAGTGATTCAATTATTATGTGTTGAATTATAGTTCATTACATGAAATACAAATTACTAACATATAAATTACATGTTTTATTTTTATAAGTGATATATAATTTATTTTACACATAATTATTAATATACTATTTAAACAAAATTGTTCAGAATTACAGAAAATTGGCAAAAGAATTTCACCCAGACAAGAATCCAGAAGCTGGTGATAAATTCAAGGAAATATCATTTGCCTATGAAGTCCTTTCAGATCCCAAGAAACGTCAAATTTATGATAAATATGGTTTAAAAGGAATGCAAGAAGGTGGCCATGATGGACCAGGATTTGCCCCAGATGATTTATTTTCACATATATTTGGGGGTGGACTTTTTGGTGGGATGGGGGGCATGGGAGGAATGCCTAGAAGGCGACAAAGAGGTGAAGACACTATTCACCCATTAAAAGTGTCTTTGGAAGATATGTACAATGGTAAAACAGCTAAACTGCAACTTAGTAAAAATGTGATATGTTCAGCTTGTGATGGTAAAGGTGGTAAAGCTGGTTCAAGTATGTCTTGTCGCACCTGCAGAGGATGCGGTGTGAAAGTTACATATAGGCAATTGGGTCCAGGAATGACACAGCAAATGCAATCTCGTTGTACAGATTGTAATGGTGAAGGACAGGTTATTAATGAAAAAGATCGTTGTGCTAATTGTAAGGGTAAGAAAGTAATCAATGAAATTAAAATCTTAGAAGTTCATGTTGACAAAGGTATGAGGGAAAATCAAAAAATATACTTCAGAGGTGAAGGTGATCAACAGCCTGATGTTGAAACTGGTGATGTTATCATAGTTTTACAACAAAAACCTCATGATGAATTCCAAAGGTCAGGCGATGACCTAGTGCTACGACATACTATTTCTTTAACAGAAGCTCTATGTGGTTTTCATATGGTTCTAAAACATTTAGATGGAAGAGAATTGATCATTAGGCATCCACCAGGACAGGTTATTAAACCTGGAGATTTAAAAGGAATTGTGGGTGAAGGAATGCCTCAGTATAAAAGTCCTTTTGAACGAGGGAATTTATATATAAAGTTTGAAGTAACATTTCCAGCTAGCCACTTCACTACAGAAAACAAATTACAAGAATTGGAGGCCTGTTTACCTCCTAGGCCAGTATTCACAGTTCCAGAGGGTGAACATGTGGAAGAAGTAGATTTACATGATTATGATCCTAGCCAGAAATCTAGTAGTGGACGTGGAGAGGCTTATGGTAGTGACGATGAAGAGCATGGACATGCAGGCCCAGGACTTCAATGTGCACACCAGTAAATTGTGGCAGTGATATCACAAATTCTTAAATGTTTATTGCATATGTTGGATGTTGTGGTTTGGCAGACACTTTAGTATTTAATCTGTGACCAACATATGTTTGGTATATGCAGTGAATTAGGGGGATGGTTCTATCTTAATAAATCAATAACTGTAATATTTCATTTGTACATAGTTCCATTTCTTTATTGTCCAAAATGACAATGTCTTTTGTGATTAATTTTATCAGAGAACAAGAATGGCGCAATAATACATATTGCTGAGCAACTCTAGCATAAATAAAAATATAAAATTTGCAACTATTGTAAATGTTTTAATTTTAGTGAAATAGAATGAACTAATTACAAAAAATATGATTGAATGTGGAACTTCCCAGTGAAATGCAATAAGGAAAATTAATTCAAATGGTTATAAAAACATGTACACATCAGGCAAAATTGTAATAATTAACACAAACTTTTGTACAATACTAATTTTCAATTCTATTTTCATTTTAAAGTACTTGAAATAGTGATAATTGTATGAAATTTGTCTAAAATACAATTTCTTTCAAAATTTAATTGTTTTAATAATGCAATAATTGAATTTTAGTGTGTATGACTGATCAATAACAAAACATAATTGAGACTTAGATATAATTATAGTGATGCACGCACATTTTTATATATATTTACTTGTGCTCTGGTATGAGTAAGTAAATAAATTATGCCATCAGTTGATACAATTGATAATATGTAGCTTTTCTGAAACTCACTAGTGTAATAAAGTTAAAAATACGTTAATTGATGAATCTGGTAATATTTGTATTTTTACATAGAAATATATCGTAACTTCGAGTTTATTTGTAAATTAATATAACATGATATTTAAACATGACTGTTTTAGTTGGTTATGAATTAACAACTACCAAATAGTGAAGTAATAGTGAGTAAACGTACTTTGTTTATGGTGAAAAGTAATTTTGGTATGTTTGATTGCAGTTTGCATAATTTTATTTGTGCTCTAAATACATTTTGATTTTCCTAAATTTATAAATAATATAAAAAATATATAAGTATTTTTTTGAATTACCGCTCAAATCGATAGAAAAAAATTTACACGTTACCAACACTTAAAAACTAATAGCCATATTTGAATTTTTATTGCTCTACTGTCACGATTACAAACTTATCTAGGATTACAAATCTCGTGCAACATTATTTACGAAACGAAGTTTTGCAAAAGTTTTAGTTCAGTATTAATTTGTGAAAATATGGAACATTTATTATTTATAATTAA